TTTCCAATTACATTACGCGAACAGTCTTCCTTATCTGAGTCTGCTAAGTGCGGTAGTGTTCCTTACCTTGAATAGAAAGAGTGAAGGATTCCGCATGTGTTTTCCAACTTCGTGAAACTCCATGCATCTGTATGTCCACAAAGTAGTACGACCGCATGTTAGTCCTGCCTATGTATAGTACAAGCTTTTGAGGCGTCCGAAGCGAAGGAAGACTGCGGAATCGAATAGATTGGCGTGATGGAGTCAGATGTCTTTTTATGCTAACATATAGCTCATTTCCGCTTGCTCTGGAACTAGGTTGTTCATCATGTTCTCGACCTAGGTACACGTAGCTGGAGCATTCGGTGATGTTCGTTCCGTTGAGCGTGAATGGGGCATCAGGAACCAATCCGTTTCTCATAAACATCGTCTTCGCTTAGGTTCAGCTGCAACCGTTCTTTGCACTCGCACAGTCGAAAACGACCAGAATTGCCAGTGTGATGGTTATCTTACCGACCTCAGTTTCCTTGCTTACCCTCGAGTATGCACGATTTCTTCTGGTGCGAAACTGGAAAGTCTGGGCGAGATGATTAGCTCTGGCTCACATGTTGTTCAGTTGTGGCTGGTGATTTGATCGTAAAGTTGTCGTAGAGCTCAACACTCATACTTGCAGTTGAACTCTTGGAGAATACTAATGTAATAGTAGGGATACCATGGTTGCCCAAGGCCTCAATGATCGCTTTTGTTTCCACAAAGTAGAACGCTTCTCTGAAGTTGATTGACGTTAGACATAGCACTTATCAGTGAGTCTTTTACTCGTGTGGATGTGGGCGATTGTGCTAAATCTACTTCGGAACTCTGCTCGGCCGTATTCTTTCAGTGTTCTGTGGATCTCTGACTTAAACGGAAAGTTAGTGGAGTGCATGTAGAGGGCGATTGGGCTGTAACTGCGAAATCGTTTAATTACATACTTTGTAACCACTTTGAAGCAGCGACGACAACTGATTCTCTTTCGATGGATGCTGTTGGACGCAATGTTGACCTTTGTTTCTCAGTTTTAATAATTTTGCTTGTCCCCCTACCCCTCCTTCCTCTTTCGCCTAGTCAGCGGCACAGCACTTTGATGTTCTCGTATGTACGTTGCAATCGCTCACGCATAGTGAGTGCTTCATCCAACGCACAGCTACAGCTTCATGGAAATGTTCATGCACCTAGTTTCTCTTTTGTTTTGCTTCTTATGCTTTTGCCAGTGGTCCACATATGGCCGGTTTCGGACTTGGTGAATCCAGCGATTCGCTAGTAGACAGTTCTCGATTCTCTGCTAGCGAATCACTGGATTCTCGAAGTCGGACTCCGACCCATGAGCTGATCTGATTCTGCTGTGATGAATAAAGCATATACTGGCGCAGGGGCAGCGAGTTTAGGGGATCTCCGCCGGACTATGTCTCGCAGCAGCACGTTACCTACGCCCCATATTTCGTAACTGGCCAGCATAATATCACGTATTGCAGTAGCTAATTTGAATTTTATAATATCTTATTGGCGTCCACTTCTTCCCCCTTCCAACTACATATTCTACACTTCCGACTTGCACCTGGCAATGAGCGCAACATCTTCCAACAGAATTCAAAGTTTCAGATCTTTTATGAGCCGTTGGACAATACCAGACGATGCCGATTTGGATGCTGTCGAAACAAACCTCACTGAATTTGGACGACTTGTTATAGAAACACCCAAAACGGGTCTGCATACCCTGAAAAGAGAAGTACCCATCAGATTCGCACCGAGGGAGTCAACAACAACAGAGCCAAGTGGCGTAGTGGTTATCAATTAGAAGCAACGATCATTGGCACTGTTCATGTATTACGACCCCACAATGCCCAAAAATCTCGCTCCAGTTTGAGTCTTTAGGTGTATGTGATATGTATTATCAGTGCAAGGGAATGAGTTCTTTAGATGATCTTCAACAGGCGTGATTTTTGGCATTTTGGGGTTGCATAGTGAAAAGCACTCAATCATTTTTCCTTTCTCAGTTGTTTTTCTTCTTAAAATGTCACCTACTCACATTAAATGATTTTTGGTACTAAACCCTGAGTTTATTCCGTCATTCCCTGCGAAGGATGAAATGGTACTCTGCGTTGCGGAAATGTGGCTTAACCTTTTGTGCTTCTAATGATAGATCACTGGTAATGTAGTATTTGGGGTGTTGAACGCTTACGCATGAGGAATCACCAGTTGTAACGGTAGCGCGACCACTTGCTCGGGGTGTGTTTTGGGGCAGGGGACCGTTGTGGAGGAATGGAGAGGGGGGCTTCCAAAAATGAGTGGTGCTTTTGTCGTGTATGAATGTTGCAATGGACGAGCATTGATTCATAGGCACTACGTTATTAAGGAGAGTGGATATTAGAGCAGAATTTTATCGTCTGGTTTGGAAGGATCGACTCAAGATGCCCTACTTCCTCGACCTTTGATTCCTGGAATTACCGACGGTTTCTATCGAACATAACACAAGCCACACTTCGATCCTCCGAGCAGGTTGAAGCGCAGTAGAAGAGTAGGTAGAAACTCCAATATATTACTGTTCTACTCGAGCTTATCAATCCCCCATTTCCGTGCTGAATCGTTGGATGTTTTTGTTAATGTTCCAGTTGGGCCGAGGAGCTGATATGAGTTTCGTTTTTCTGTCTCGCTGTCGAAGAATTCCTGAGCGCCACTGTTTTTGACAATTCGTCAGGTCTAGAAAATTTCCAACCGAATGACGATGCTGGTCCCGTCACCTGCTTCCAGCCGTGGTCACGGCGTAATTTTCGGCTTACTACACCTGTGTCGAGTAGTTTCGTGATTATTGCACATCATAGTTACGTCATAAACAGACGATAATTTCCTTGACTTCGACGCCGGTGCGATGGCCTTCTCGCATCGCTGGTTGCAATTAGTGATTAGTTCGGTCATATGCTGGTTTCTTGAAAACCTTGTCTTACTTGTGGAAATAATGTCTCTTAAAATGGTCAGATATCACCTCCAAAAAAAGAACGTTCTTGGTTGATTCGAGCACAAAGCAGGACGAGACCGTTAGACAGAGATCTCCACAAGTAGAAATCTATGGAAACGGTCATTAGCAAGGTTTGTTCATCACATGGCATGTGCATGTGCAGCACAGTATACGCCCATGACATCTGAACGAATCATATTTAGTTGCCATAGACTGCGAACAAAGCTCAGAGAAAGGAACCAGTAGCACCTGGTAGGCTTTTCTTGTGAGCTATTCGTTGGTCAGTCTGATTCCTTGTCAACAAGAAGTCTTATAATAGTGGTGCAGCACAGCTGAGTTTTTTTGTGAGACTACGTTTGCTTACCATTAGAGGCATCTTTCTTAAATTATCTGACGTCAAAGTTGGGAGGCAAGGAAATTAGTCGATGACGCAACGACCGCTAATGAGTGAGCGATACGCTGCGGGAATTCCGATTGTTCGTGAATGGCCGACCTTATCCCAATTAGGGAGGTCGTGCTTGTTGCTGGACAGAAGCTAACTTGAAGTGAAGCCGTTAGCATTAGTGTTCAAATCGTGATCACTAGCCTTTTTGTACATAGTTTTCCGGTCGCTAAAGTACCCTTGTCAACGACTTGTTGTACTCTTGACACGGCAATTGTCAAAAAAAAAAACGTCACAAATTGGATACCATGCAAGCGTTAAGCTCTATTGGTTTTTGAAATTTGCATACCCTTCCGCAAAGATCATACCACCGGTGAAGGGCTGAGTGGTGGTGTTCTCGCTCATTGCACTGTTGTTGGTGATGACAAGTCAACCGGATGTGTCCGGTCCACAAATGCTGAGTCACTCTGAATACTTGTCGCAGTTTGCAGCTTTCCCCGTTAATACGCAACAGTCTTTAACGCTTTGCATCATGTAAACCAAAAAGTCTTGAGTTAAGTCATAGTGTCCTCATTCTTCCCGTTACCACACAATTCGCAGAGATCGGCAATGGCGAAGTCATTTAGGCCGAACAAGTAGTGATCAGGGAGGCCAATTTTATTGAAACATGATGCGTGAGTTTCGAGCTAATTCCACTTTTAGATTGGCTCTATATGTTGAGGGGCTGAGCCAGCTTTGTCATAAAATGATGCATTGTTTGAGCGGCATTTCTTGCACAGATTCGTTGATTCCTGGTGCTGGTGGTAAGTTGCGCAAAGCACAGCGGAGCCCGTGTGCCCTCTCGAAAATGGTCAATGCAACATCCTTTTTGCATCAAAGCCTTGCGAGTTTGTCTCTCCTCTCGCTACGGAGGAGTGCCACCGTAAAAGCTTGGAGTGCTGATTGTATATTCGTCCAATGTGCTGTTGTCGTTGGTTCATGCAGCATATAATTTATGAGAAATTGAAACAAGGGGAAAGGGGAGAGTTACAAGAACATAGAAAAACTGAATGTGTGATACAGATTGGTGATGATGGAAGAAATACAGGGGGGGGGCAAAAAAGAGTCACTTTGCCCATGGCGCACATCATCAAATTTTTCGTCGCACAGGATGCCGTTGTTATGAATGTTTTACGGCAGAATATTCCTTAGGTGTCCCCAAAGCAGAAGCAGGCCCTCCTTCACTGCCCCACCGTCTTCAGAATATGACGTCATCTGCCGTCACCGTCGAGCTCAACGAGGCTTACCGTAATCGCTCCGGCCTGAAGCTGCTACATAATTTCTTCAATCGATTAACTGGTGAATAGCTTCTAGAGACACTAGCTGTGACTGTGCAAGACCGCTTTTGACCAGCGTTTCAGGGACGTCGTAATGGTCTATGGTACCTCGACGACCTCGTTGAGCTCGTACCGTGAACCATGTTTCCGTGGGAAAATCTTCTGATGTCGTCGGTGTAGAAGGCTGTCATGCTTTTTGATAGACTTAGAATGTGCTCTTTAATATTCAGTTGGGCTCATTTGGTTTGGTTTCGCATCACTTAATTAATTCCCTTGAATGTGGAGGGAAGTGACTTTTTTGCCCCTTCCCCTGTAGAACGAAATAGATAGGTTGAGAAAGACAGGGATCTTAGAGGTATTACGTCTTGAAAACTGGGGGAGATGCTAGGAAGAATCACCTGTCTGTCGTAGTGTTTGATGGATGGCAATATCTTACATACCTTCTTATTTCTATTAGACCCCATGTATCACTGCGTCCAGGATGATGCGCAGTGATAGTTCTTTCTTCGCATTGGATACTCCATGGAATGTCCCGTATAGGAGATATCGGAGAGGTTGGCTACTCTGCGAAGTTCCCGTTTGATATTTTTGCCCATGATGTCCATGAGAGATGTGCATGCGGCTGAACAGAACGTCCGGTCTATAATTATGTGGCAAATTACCTCGTATACTGTAGTCAATGAGCCACCTTCACGTACTTTACTACCGCTTTTTTTGCGAAAAATTGGCTGCGTTTGTAGCAAGCACATTGCATTGCTTTTGTCAACAAATCCCACCTTTAGTGTAACGGCTGCTGTTGTATCACATATCCGCTATCTATCAGAGGGGAACACTCTTGAGTGAGTATCTGTGAATGCTTGATGGCTGCCTTCTCATCCGATACTTCTTGAAAGTCTCGGATGCTATTTCGATGAAATAAGACCCAACGTCGTCATCTGATGTGCAGCTGACCGGCGATCACCTAGCTCGTCGTTTGCTCACGCAATCGCATCATAATCTTCAGCTTACTGCACCTGTGGATAGCAATTTTGTAATTGCTTCTGCAGTTACGCCATCAGCGACAATCTGCTGGACATTGTAGTAGTTGTACGGTCACCTCGCATCACTGCCCATATCGACACGCTCCTGATCATCTTAATTACGACATGGTATAGACGAACTGACTCCATTCATCGAACCGTGACATCCATTATTCAATGAAGTATTTCGGTCACAGCTCAAAAATGTGGAGCTCTATGGCCATTTGTTCTAGTTTGGTAACCATACATGGTTACTTAAAGGCAAGATTCGGGATAAAATAGGTGTGGAAAAGCGTTCAGTTATGAAGCTAGAGGTGGGAGGTGGTCTGGAAAAGAGAAGGAAAGCAAACGAAACCACCGATTACGCCCCGCACAGAGACCTCCCCTATTTCAGCCGCATTCCACCTTGGGATAGAGAAGGGCGCGTTGGACGAGTTTCACGAACCTAACTCTAGTTGCTCCAGTGCCAATGACATTGGATCGCAATGGGACCGCTGCCTCAAATGCGCCCGCGCTTTTCAAGCAGCGCCACGTGGCAACCGACAGCGGAGGGTGGGGCTTGCGGACGAAGGTGTGAGTTGCGGGTCGGACGAGCTCCTTGCGCCTTTGTCGCGCACTTTCAAGCGGCAAAAGGGGCGCGACATCAACACTTGTCCGCCTGTCCTACTACCCCGGGATGGAACAGGCGAGCGCGCCTAATCCCGGAGCGTGCCATTAATTACACTGGTGAGCGAAAATTGAGAACTAATGTAGCTTTCCCGTGATACAGTACTCTTGAGTAACAAGCTCACTGCATCTCATCTATACGTATAAAGAATTGCCACAGTACAGAGAGCAATAGACGGAACCTTTGTAAGGTCCAAAGGGTCGTTAACAAGGTGTGTTACCTTTTTATCTCGTGCTTAAGTTTTGCAGACTAGCGTGCTTTGCTTCCTATGGGCGAAAAGCGGGGGCTCAAAGTAAGCTCGTGTTTAGCCCAAAGGAATCCTTCCACGGAAAAAGCTCCGCCCTCATTACCACAGAAAACGATACCTTAAAGGAATCTTCCACGGAAAGAGTGATCATTTTGTCTTGTGTGTAGGATTAGTATTATCGAAACTAACGCTTATGTTCCGTATGCTC